AAATATTTTATTTACTATTCTTACATGCCATTTCATTTGTCAACGATTCTGAGCAGCTTCCTTGGCCTATGTCATAAAATAAGATTAAAAATTGTACTCTTGTATTTTACTCATAATTTTAAGCCAGGAACAATAGAAATAGTTTAAAATGCATAACAGAAGAAAAAATGATCCGTGTTTTTCAAGAAGAAGGATAATGGCTAAAAAGGGTGGTATTAACTGAAGCTTTTCAAGAATAGCCTAACCCAGGAGTGTCTAACTCAAGGCCGGGGGCTGGATCCGGCCTGCAGGGTGCTTAGATTTGGCCCATGGGGCCACCCTAAAAACAGTAAAGGACTGGTCTACGGTGCCTCTGCCAGCGAAAACAGAGCTCAGGAGGGGGGATGCTACAGGAGACCATCGCAGCTGGAGCTCTGGAGACTGTTTTCACTGGCAGATTGCTTGGGCCACCACAGATACCCCCGACATGAGTGATGTCAAGTTGTCCATACCCACTCTGGCCACAACCACCCTGGCCCCCAAGGTCAAACTCAACCCTGATGCAGCCCTCAATGACATCGAGTTTGACACCCCTGGCCTAACTTAATGGCATAGTTTTGCAAGCCATTGACTTCTTTTTTTATACCAATCAGCTGCTGGTAAAAATATTTTTTTTTATCAAAATGAAAAATCAATAGATAAAAGTGTATTATCACCTAAGATCAGCCATTTGCTAGCTCATGGGATTTTTCAAAATGCTTCTTTCAATAGTGACTTTTGATTTTGATTTTTCTCTTTTAGTCCTAATATATGTAAGCATATTTGATTGCTTACAATGTGAAAGATTCAGGGTCAGAAGTGTACCTGCTAAATGTCCTTAAAGATTTGTTTAGGTGTTTAATTTTGTAACTGAAAAAATTAGTAGAAAAGAGCCACTTGCGATTAATATAGGGTCCATAATCGACTATGGTTACAATAAATATGGGAGTGTTGGAATTTGGAACTCATACAGCGGAAGACACATCAATACAGATACCATACTTGAGAGGAGTGTAGTTTAATCAGCACACTGCACAAGTACATGGGTAGACTGATGGACATTAAGAAATTTTAGAGATCTATATATGTCTACCTTGGGGTCATGTACTTTGGATGTTTAGTTTTGTCAGGTGACCTCTATGGAGTTCTGCGACCCTTTTTCAAACACTGGTTGTAACACTTCATGCTACCTTTTAGAATTGAAGACTATGTAAGTTAATTAGTCTCAGTGCCCACCCTTTTCCAAAGAAAGAAAAAAGTATCCTACAGATGACTAATTAATATTTCTCTTGCCTCCACTGAGTCATGTTGTCCATGCAATCACTTGGTATGTATCCTAAAGAAGAGTGTTTTCTAGCTACACGGAGACAATGTTAATAGTAGCTAAGGTGAGTTTATGTGTTTTTAATCAGGGCAACCTGGTCTACCCAATTATGGGACAGAGCATACTGTTTCCACTTTAAATGCATAAAGTATATAAAACATAAATTTAACACAAAAACAAGGTGAGTTTATATTTTTAAAATACATGTTTAAAAGTATAAGACCACACTTATACTTTGGGGCATTATTCATAATACATATACCTGAATTATCCAACCGAGCTGAATGGCAGAAAGCTCATAGCCGGAAAATGGTAGGATTTCTTCTCATAGAGCAGGGGTGTCAAACTCAATTCCATTTGAGGGCTGCATCAGGGTTGTGTTTGACCTCGTAGGGCCAGAGTGGGCATGGCCAGCTTGTCGGGGGTACCTGTGGTGACCTGAACTTTCTGCCAATGAAAATGGGCTCCAGAGCTCCATTTTCAATTGTGGTGACCTGCTGAAACCCTCTGCCAGAGAAAATGGTGCTTGGGAGGGTGGCCCTCCCGAGCTCCATTTTTGCTGACAGAAGGACCATGGGACAGTCCTTTGCTGTTTCTAGAACAGCACCGTGACCAGATCTAAGGACCCCATGGACCGGATCGGCCCCTGGGCCTTGAGTTTGACATCCTTGCCATAGAGGATAGATAAACTCTGGAATTCACTTCCATTTGATGACGTGATGGGCATCACTTCTGACAGCTTTTGATTGTGTAGACAGATTGATTGAAGGATGAAACTATGGCTCCTAATCATATTGATGTCAATCTGCCTTCAGCGTCAAACAGCCTGGCCTTGAACTATAATGATTAAGAAGACCATTTTTTCCCCTTTGGTAGGCAGATTGAATTGAAAGGGGCTTTTGACTTGGACTAGCATGTTCCTTCATAGTAAATTTCTTCACATGTTCCCTCGCCTCACATAAAGATGTTTTCTTTCACTTATATCCTCAGGTATGATCAGTAAGTTTGTGGTAAACAAGTAGTGTTCCATTTGTGGTCAGGAACAGGTAACTAGGAAGAGGGTTGCTGCCTTCTGTTCTTTCCAGCAGTGTAAACATTATACCTGTACAATAGTTTGCTATTAGCATTTCTAAAAGAAAGCCTAGCCTAGGTTTTCAATAATTTGTACATGTTTGAGTGAATGGTATACAATTCATTACGTTGGTGGAAACTATATCTAGCCAGGCAGCAAGTGATGTCATATTATCTGCCATTGTATTGGAATTCCTGAATGGCAGAAAAGCTAATTTGGTTTGAGGAGTTAAGCTCTCCTATGAACTGTGCTACCTCACTACTTTATTTTTGAAAAAAAGGGGCTGAATGCCAGGTCTGATTAGATCACCAAAGCTGATTAGATCTACCAAAGCTAGAAATCTTGTGTTGCAAATGAGTTAGATCTTTGTACATGTCCGGTTTTTCTCTTGGATTTTATTGACATTTTGGTGATCTCGAAAAGACAGCGAAGTATTAACTCTGATGGCTTCTAGGGGAAAAAATAATTTTTAGGTGGCTTCAAAGAACCAAAACCCAAACTGTCAATGCCCGTCTTTCCATGATTAATTTAAAAATGAAACACTTCTGTGGAGAGGTGGAGACGTGCAAATATGTTGAGCAGCTGGCTTACAAGAGTACTGTAAATGGCTAGTTTGTTTTTCATAATCCTGAAGAATCTGCAGCCTCAGATTAGTTTGGTATCATCTTCACAATCTTTTTATTTTATTTTTCCATATCTCCATTCAGTTTGTACTTGTAATATATCAACAGCCAGGATTATTTTCATTTTCTTTCATGCTCAAAGATAACTTATGGGCACCACCAACCATAAGGCCACTGACTTTTGTGCCCTCATTTTTCTGAAGTGCATTATTACTTTCCAGTATAAATATCCAGGGCCTGACCTTGCTGCGTTCCAAGAATCAAACATGAACTAGCTTGTGGTTAGACAGCAACAAGATCAGTCTTTTACTTAGTTTCCAAGACTGTTCCTCATTATGCTTTCAGAACAGCATTACTGCTTTGCTGTAATGCCTAGTTTAAACTCCCAGAATTCCCGGTTTAGTTAAGTGAAGCAGCCTTTACCAAAATATTTTTCCACAAATCCATAACATATCCTTTGGCTCTCTGATTCTCCTACTTTTAACTCTATATATAGGTTGTTCACTCTCTGAATGTGAACTGCTGCTCAATGGTAACAGTCAAACAAGAAATTTAGGGGATTATAAGAACTATTTTCACAGTGCCTTTTTAGAAGATACGTATCTTCTAAAAAAACAAAGAAAAACAGTTTTCTATTTCAGCAACACTTCCTTCCAGTCTTTCTTTGACAAACACTAATGTCTCCATTTTCCTCTTTCTCTAAAACTCTGAATTAGGACGATTAAGACTACAGGAGTTAGTACACCACAGAAGCAATTTTTGTGTTTTTTAACTAGTCTTTTCAATGTAAAGAATGAAACCTTGAGTGCTTGTTTGTCTTATTCTTTCCTTTTTTAGAGTAGCTAATGTGAAATCACAGTGGATAAATCTCCTGTATTTTAACTTGTTAGGTAAGCCATGAAATACTGAGAAGGAAGTAAGTAAAAGGATATTGGGTGAAGTATTCCACCCCCCCTCCCAAATTCATGCAGAACACCAGAGCCAGCAAAGCACACTAAATCAATATTTGGTATAATTACTGTAATCTGGCAGTTTCAGATGCAAATGCAAACAACAGGATAAAGAAAGTAACATAAAACAGTTGCTATAGCACCCGTGTTTAATCACCAGGCATAACACAGCAAACTAAATTATGTGTTTAAAGTTTAATTTATCTCGTGTAGGCTACCTGTGGGATTATTGTGAAACCAAAAATAAACTTCCTGTAATTCTTTTGCCTTTGTCTATGTTTTTATAAAGGGAATAGTTTATTCTTTTTTTTTTTGCCTCTCACCATCTTTTTGTTTATTAAAACTAAATATCCTGATAGGATGTAATCTAGTTTCAAAGGCATAGGATTAATGCAGAATAAAAGAGCAGAAAAAAAATGATGATTCAGCCCATTGAGATGTTTACCATACGATTATGATATGCTAGTATCTCCTTGGTTGGCTTGATATCTAAAAGAGGTACTTCTTTAATCCCCCCCCCCCAGTTTTTATCATTGTGGAGCACAGAAAACAGGAATATACGGTAAATACATGGTTTTAAATGTGCTACATATGGACATAAGAGAGTTTACACTCAGTCATTGTAGCTGTTTTAAATATTAACTATTCCCCCCCTCCACACACACAAAATTTACAGCTAACAAGCTAAGCTGGGAATAGCTAACAGCCAATGCAGGAGTTTTTATATTAAATACAATAGCCTCATCAAATTATAGAAGACCTTTCCTAGCCTAACCCCTATTAGACAGAAGAGACTTTGATTCTCGTATTTTCTATCCAGCACATTGATAAATTATAGATGGTTGAAAGTATACGCCAGTTTAGCTGGGTTCTAGGCTTGGGCAGAGCCACTTGTAATTCGGGGGGTGGGGCGGAGAGATTTTAACATCTATGCTATTGTGGATCCCTTTAACTTTCTTTTTTTTTAAAAAAAAAATCTATATTCTCATACTCTGCTGCTGTGTTGACTTCAGGTTCCTTGCAAATTACAACAGCTTAACAGACAAGCATCTTGCAGGCTATTTCAGCAACACCAGGATAAGACGCCATCTGCGGAGGTCAGGACTGGTAGGTATGCAAATACTTCTTCGTTTCTCTAGATTTATCTTGCCAGCTTTCTTTTAAAGAGTTTAAGAAGACAGACACGATTCCCTCCAGTCTTACACCTTGTGAAATTGGTTAGACAGTGAGTGGCTCTGCATTATCCAAAGGGCTAGCCGTATAATAATTTGAACTAAAGTCCTTTGTCCAAAACTATAATTCGGCCATGATTGAAGATTTTTCCTATTTTCCTCGCCTCTTAAATTTATTAAAATATGCTTGTTATTTTAATCAAATCTAGCCAAAACAGACCTGAGGCCTTGCCTGTATTGAAAATGCATGCCAATGCACTTTTATTACAGTTGTCATAAATCATTGTGACAGCACCCAAAGTTACCAATTAAGGTGACAGCATAATATAGTAACCAATATATATGAAGGCTGTAGCCCTAAGTTCATTTTTTAAGGAGTGTCCAACTGAATTTTGTGGGACTTCTGAGTAAGCATCCATAAGATTGTGCTGTATGGAAATTCTCACATATTTTCACCAAGGTAAGAATATGTACCTTCGTATATATGTATGTATACTATTTACCTGAGCTGTAAGATGAGTCATCATAGTGTTACCTGAGATAGTGGGAACCTGAAAAGGCCTAAGAAAGAGTTGAGGTGGGCAAATAACTGTTCAACTGATTGTTTGCAAGGTTATTTTAATTGGAGTTAAATTCTGAGTAACTTTGGAAGCAGAATAGAAACCTAGAGATTCTATCACTGATATCGCTGTTACCCATTATTTCTATTGGAAGAATACAACTACAATGATTTCAGTGTTCCTAAGAATAAACCCCACCTCTGAGAAAACAGTCTGATGTCATATTGGGCTCTGATGTCACATTTAATTTTGGGGTACAGTCTGTTTCTCGTACAACAGCTTGTATCCATAGATGTCTGTTATAAGCCACCATGGCATCAAATTACAAGGTGTACATCATGTCATTGTATCATTGATGACACTTTCATAATTTTCATCAGTTACATCATGTCATGAAATGTGATACAAGTATGTAAGTCACAGTTATACCAAAATGTATATGTGTCATCATGTCCCCTTCCCTTCCCTTATTCCTGTGATGGAAGGAAGTAACAATCACCTGGAAATCTCATCTGACCAAAAACAGTTATCTAACCTGCTTCTGCTCATCTTTAAAACACACATGCTGTCATTGGCAGGTGCTGTCTTTTGTGTCAAAATGGAGGATAAGTGGGTCTATTGAAAAGCAGAGATGTTAGATTCAAATATTTCAACTGTTGTGGTAGTTATGTACTATGGAACAGGAACAACTAATAGAAATGATGTTTACTCCAATAGTGTATATTTGGTTTTGCTTAATTTATTTAATAAAACAGAACACAGAGAAAAGACCGAGAAAACTTTCAATAAAACCAAAGCAAATATAATGCAAGATAAATTGTGTTTATAAGAGTTTCTCATACATACGTATAAAATTCTTTATGTAACCGTTTCAATAGAATTGTTTTACAATTCTTTGTAATCGTCCATGCGTAATCTATGACTACAGGCAATTCATTCATAGGGTGAAAGTAACATCAGCTTCAATCCACTGAATAATTGGGGCTATAAATTTATCTTTCTAATGTTGAAGAACTAAACTCTTGGCATTAATAAGGGCACAGAGAATCCATTTCTGCTGCCAGCTGTCAATTCCCATGTTGCAAATATGCAGTTCAAAAGAACATGTACATACAAAAACATTAAACTGTATTTCAAAAATTAAATAATTGTAAATTACATCTTCCCAAAACAGAGTAACGCTAGGATAGTGCAAAACATGTCCTTTAATGAAGTATTCCAATCAGTGGTGGGTTTCAATTTTTTTTAGAACCTCTTCTGTAGGTGTGGCCTGCTTTGTGGGAGTGGCTTGCCGGCCATGTGACTGGGTGGGAGTGGCTTGAAAGTCATGTGACTGAGTGGGCGTGGCCAACTTGCAAAATGTGGTGAAACTCACTTAACGTTCTTGCTTAGCAACCAAAATGTTGGTCAGAAACTGTGGCATTTGAAGCATGCAAGTCTTAAAGCTGTCAAGTTACAAGACCCTTGCACCCCTAACCCTTCAGAAAATATCCCCCAGGGGTGTTCAAACTTGACAGCTTTAAGACTTGCATGCTTCAA